CTGGCCCTCAGCCAGGATCAACCCACCACAAATCCCAACTAACCTAGTTAATAACATCTCTACAGTTGATGGATTTACAAAATATTCCAACAGTATCTCATTCACCAAAGTCCTTATTTGTATCTCCCAGATTTTACTTGTGTCTTTAAGCAAGTCAACTTTAACACCCCTAAACTCTTTGTAATAAAATAACTATGCCACACACTTCAAAATTAGATTAATTTATATCTTGGTCTGAGTCTCAGAATTTCAGAAAAACCACACTTAATAGCTGAATTTCATGGAAAGCAACCACCCACCACATCATAATCACTCAAGGAGTGGGGATCTGAGACTTAAATGAAAAATTTAAGTTCATAAAGTTATTACAATACTAATTAAAGAAATGCTGCTAAAAGAACATGCAACTGGTCCATACTACATGCTAGGTAAAACACTCAGCTCCAATATAAGCTTGTACCATCAAAAGCTTCACATATATATTAAAATTGTTCCAAGAAAGAAAGGGAAAACTTAAAGTCCAGCTACTGTCTGGCTGCTCTACAGTTCGCTCTTACAGCTAACAGCATTTGGTCATTAAAAATCAATGCCTCAAAGTCCCCCAAATAAGTAATGTTTAGAACCTTGAACAGTCTTTAAATATACAAAACACTTAGCACAAAATACATCCTTGTGTTTTAGTACAGATCACAGATTAAAGATATCTTACCTAGCATACTATGTAACAGCATTTGCAGTGTGCACAAGAACTGAAGGAAATCCAACAATGTCAAAACACAGTCGCTGTTATTTGAATAAAAAAGCTGACACTGTCATGCTATATTTTGTCCAATGAATCTTCCTTTCTGAGTCCAGTATTTTAATTCTTTTTGATTACAAATGAATCAATGCTTGTAATTTAACTTCTTACCTCAAGCAAGGCTGCTGCAGGATCCCCCTGCAAGCTCTTCCCCAGTTTATCAACCTCATCTAACAGGAAGACTGGATTGTTAACCCCAACAGTTTTCAGTCCATTGATTATTCTGCCAGGCATACTGCCAACATAGGTGCGCCTGTGAGAAAAAAAATGTATATGGGGAAAGAGGGGCCAGACGCACGTAACAGGAGTAGAAACATCAAAAATAAAACTCAAAGGAAAATATAGGAATAAGTAACAATTCTTGCTTTTTTTCAAAAGGAACTAGTTGATAAAAATATAGAATATGCATCTGAACTAATATAAGCAATTGTATCAGCAGATGAAAATTCTGGTTCCATGGTGCACTAGTTGGTCTGGAAAGAGAAACATATGCATTACAGTCTATCCAAACTTTATGGCTTGCAGGCATTTTACGTGATTCAGTACAAGCATCTTTGTACTGTAAGAACAAGCATAAGCAGATTTGGGAACCTCATTAATACTAACATATTAATAACGATGATACTGGGGTTTTGTCATCACAACAGAGTTCACACAGCATCTTACAAATTAAGGCAAAATTCCAAATATGCTGAACTGTCGATGTCCCCTGTATATACAGCATGCTTTAATTGATACTCACAAAAATAATTGTATTTACTATGTCATTTCAACATGAAGTAAAAAACTAGAACAGTACAATAGAACAAAAAAGTTATGGTGAATTTATTCAACAAAGGCACTAAAAATTTTATGAAATGCTGGTCACCCAAGAAGAGAGAGAAACATGAAGTGCTGAATTATGGTAACTATCTCATGACCCTCACAAAGCAGATATGCAGAACAGGCCTGCTTTACCATATGATCTGTTTTAATACAGTCCAAAATAAACAGGATGACATTTCGAAAGACCTAACCAAAATACCATGGGAGTAATTTCCAAAGATACTAGAGAAGACTTTGAATATAAAAAGCCCACCTCAAATCGCACAGCAGTGGTGTTAGTTATACGTAATATTTAACTACTAAGGGAACAAATTGTAGTTACTGTATTTAACTTTAGATTTGAGCAAAAATAAAAGTTTTTAAGATCATCTAAATAGCCAGAAGTGCAACAGAATTTCAGTTTGCCTACTACCACCTTCATGAGACAGCTGCTAAAGACTGGAACAGCCACCATGCAATAATTTAGCACCTCACTGCTTTTGTGTAGAGTCTTACTCTGCAGTGAGTATTGCACTGAGCTTGCACTATACAACATTTACTACAGATCAAGAATCTGCATGGGGGAGCTATTATACTAGCATGCCACTCCATTCTCCATCTGCACACAGTCAATCTTGCCAGAAGAATGAAAGGATCCTATGAAATGTAATCAGAAAATTACAAGACTGAAGCAGAACTGAAATTACAAGACTGAAGCAGAACTGCAACTCACAGAAGTGAATCATACCAGTGCAACCAAATTAATCATTGTAACAATTTGGGGGGTTCTTTGGGATTTTGGGGTGGGGTTTTACTTTTTTTTTCCCCCCCTTTTCCCCATTTGTTTGTGGGTTTGGTGGTGGTGGTTTCATTGGGGTTTTTTGGGATTTTTTTAACAAAAGGTGCTTACTGCACTAGTAAATAGTTTCATATGCTTTAGAGACAATACAGCCTGACTGTTTTTAATATTCTATTTATGCCAGTAATAGGATAACATAATTCGGTAAACACTAATCATTCTTTCTTCTTGCTTGGTACATTATTCTCGAGTGTGTGCTTAAAGACATTACACTTTCTTAATGCATGTTTGTGTTCTTATATACACAAAGTTTCATCTGATCCTTTTCAATTCTATAAAATTCTGAGGTATCTATGTTCCATCTAGTGTTAAGAAACAGCTTTGGTTTATAAACTAAATGAAGGTAAACTGGGTTTCTCTAGTCAAGGGAAAGCACAGTGAATAATCATAATCAGCTTTCCCTGCATCACCCAATTGCAACAGTGCTAATGTAAATGTCATATGTAGGATGATAAAGTACAATAACGTAGTATTTTACCTAGAGAATACAAACACAGGTAGCCTGTTTTGATTTCTAAATGGTTATTATGGAACACATCTCAACACAAGAGTCCTCGGTAAGACAGACCCTGCAGATATTTACATATAAAACTGCTAGAATAAATTAAAATTGCAAGCAGATATGGCCATTTATTTGTCTGGACATTAACCTTTGCCTTGTAACTTGTGAAACTGAATACTGATGTTGGTGAACAGTAGCCACTGAATGTGATGTTATTCTTTATTTTCATTATTTTAGCTGGGGTTGAAAGGAGGAAAAACAATATTCTACATTAGCATTTTTGATGATATAATGTGGCTTTGCTCATTTTTTGATGCACTGTTTCTCTCCATGCACTAAACCTAGATAGAGAGTCAGCTGCTTTCCATTCAAAACAGGAAGTACAGATCAAGTTTCCTGGTTATCTCACTTGAGTAGTAACAATTAAAAAAACCCCATAAGACCTCATGCCACAGAAGGTCTGTAATTTAGGAATCTTTTTATTTATTTTTAAATCAATGTAAAGGTACCTTTAAAAAACCACTAGAGTTGCACAGCATATCATTAGGAGCCATGTATCCTAGAAAATGCGAGACAGACAGCTGGGAAATCTCACCTTCTCAGCTCTCCCAGCGTAAACTGGGAATGTGAATGAATTGGAACCCTTAAACCAGCACTAGTAAAATTGATAAAAACATGACTTGCTTTGTTCATACTGTTCTAAAGACAAAAAGTTTTAAATTGTTTTTAACTACAGTGGTTTTCAAACTGCAGAGGTAGGAAAAGATAACAAAGTTAATGCCCCCAAAGAAACTATTCTTGAACTTAGTTGCACAAGGTCATAGCTTATTTTTGCACAAGGACAGAGGTTGCGTATAGTCAAGTGCTTTACAAATATATTTATACTTGAATAACAAAGCTATTCCTCTCACAGGCGAAACTGTTTGAGGTTTGTTTTCTTCTAACGCAATAAGGCCTGTGCTGTGAACAACTTCTAGCACAGCTGTTACTGGTGAGGAATCACACACCTTTTCTGACACAGATGCACACAGACAAATTTTCAGCTCAGGCCTAAGCCAGAATAAACTATCCAAACTTCTACAAACTGAAAAGCAATGGTAATACAAGAAAGAGTGCTTCACATGGAGGTGAGAGAGAGAAAAAAAGAGCTTCACAGTGATCTCACCAGCACCGCTATAAATAAATGGCACAATTACATCTTTCCTTTTTAAAAATAGAAAACCACATGCATGCAACAGAAAAGATCACATAATTCCTGTATAAAACAAAATATCAGTATGGAAGAGATCTTAAATGCAGTGAACTTCTTGGAAAAAAGTTCTAAGTCATCCTTCAGGGTCATTTGGTGTTTTGTGTGTGTCTCTCTGTGTGTGTGTGTGTGTGTGTGTGGTGGTGGTGGTGGTGGTGGTGTTTTGGTTTTTTTAATACAAGTTAACAACAAATGTAAGCCAGCAAACTTTTACATATGGTATAGATGAGTGGTAAATGCAAACAACAGCTGGATGATGTCTGATAAAGCAGCTCTGTTTTTGTACTAAGATGATGATTTCATTTTGGGAATGCAGAACAGTAGTAGCTACTCTTCACCCAATCAAAAAGGATTCACAAACTCCAGCTGCAGACACATGATCCCCACTGAAATGGCAAAACCTGGGCGTTTCTGATTGCCCTAGTTACAAATCACATGGAACAGCACACTTACTGAAACACCACTCCCCACCCTGCTGCCGTCTAATAGATTTTATTTTGTTTGCTGAATCTGTCAGTCTACATCTTTCACTTACAGCAGTAATAAGCAGCCAAATTGAATGCTATTTCAGGCAATATTTGCTTGCAAGTGAAACCAAACCACAGTTTCTTTTTTTAATGTTCTAGTACATTTAGTACATTTTTAAAAACGTTTAGTACATTAGTAGGTACAAGGACTATCATTCTTCTGCAATGTTAATAGTATCCTTAACTTAAGCCTTAAAGCCTAATAAGGAGCTTTTAGGAGAAAAAGAATGGCTCGTAACATGTAATATTAGAAAATCATCCTACTTAACAGTAAAACTCAAAGAACAGCAGCCTATGTCTCATCCACTATTAGATCACTTCTGCAATTCCTCTCTATGACTGCCACCAGATGCACAATATGGATTCACTTGACTGAGAATAACTTGAAGGATCTATTCACACAAAAGGACATTACAGAGAGAGGTCTACAGAAAAGCTGTAGTTTAAATTTGATTAAATCTTATTCTGAGAAGCAGAAAAGCAGGGAAAAAAAAGAGCAGAATTAAAAATACACAACAGTTGGTTTTGATTTTACCTACATAAAACTTGCAAAAGCAGTCAGTTACAAGGGACTCCTCATACTAACTGCTCTGAAGTTTGCTTTTAGTCTTAAACTATACACTTTATTAAAGAGTAACCACATGATACTCTTGCTGATTCTAGATAGTATTTTCCTTTGCTGATGAAAAATAAACTGTCTTACCAAATACTTCCCCATCAGCTAATTTCAAGTAAATTTTTAATATGAAATTTATAATGGTTAACTTCTAACATGCATTAATAATATAATAACGCCCTCAAAAATACTACAATGACAGCCACAAACACCTGAATTTAGAAATTTTTAAAAACCTCATTATCACATGATTCTAGCTGTCTTTATTCTTCATTAATTTTAAGCACAAGATAGAAAGCCAATCTAAAAACAAAAAAAGCCAAACAAACAAAAAGGAAAACAATAAGAAATTACTGGCAATTTCATAAGAGTTGATAAGAGTTTTACTTTTATTCATAATGTCAATTTCACAGACATGGTTTCGCTGTTACAAAGACTTGAGCTCTGCTCTGGAAGAGTCATTGATATCTATAACGCTTAGTATTCAACAGCCTCTAGTGGTTTCAGTTCGAATAGCAACATGCTGTTGAATCACATTTTAAATTGTTTTTAGGATCCATACCACAAGTAATCTGAAACATCAGAATTCTCACTTATTAAACAGTGATTAACAATAGAGTTTATGAATTACAGGAATAATACATAGTGAAAGTGGAGGACAGAATTTCACCTGTTTTTCCCTAAGCGTGTAAGTAAATTGGTAAAAAGGACAGGTATTACGAAGGTTTACAAAACAATCAGACACACATGCACAGAGTGCTGCTGTGAGGCACAACCCAATGTGTTAAAACAAATTATCTACAAACCCCCAGTGGCTGCTGGGTATGTTGACCAAACCTAGACTAAGAAAAACTTACTGATGATTCTTTCAAGCTACAAACTCTAGGTAAGTGTCAAACACTCTGGAAAACAAAACTCCTGCAAATTTGCCACAGAAGAATGTGCACAGGAATAAACACCTGTTGCTAATTTTATCAAGGGTGATCAATTAAATGTCTACGAAACAACTCTGAATTTTCAAGTTGTCATCAAGTACAAAATCACCATTTAGTCGCTTTTTCATCTCTCATTTTCTGGTCTAAGAAGTGATCAATAGTGTATTATACTCTAGATTCCTATAAATTAATTATATTCCAGATTCCTAGAATTTATGCATATGTTCAGCACAAATTTGCCAGTGAGTCTCCCACATTCCTTCCAGTTCGGACTGTGAGCTTCTACCACTCCAATAAATTCACACGTGCAACTAGGTAGCTTACATGGTCATAAGTCTGAAACCACAAAATGAACTTTTATTATGGCATTTCTTGGAAGTTTTCATTAAAATTACACAGGGAAGTGATAAGAATACCAAGGTCCTTTTTATGCCTTGAAAACAAAAAGAAATTACATAATTCAAATTGAAGCAAGAATGATGGTGTATTCTCATTGAAAGTAAGCAGCATAGCCATTGGGCAAAATTAACTGCTACATGGCACCAGAGAAATAACCGATAGCTTTAATTCACAATAATTTATCTACTGTTGCAAAGAGAATATTTATTCAATAATGTGATTTAAAAATAAACACTTGGTTTTACAGATCTTTAGAACACTAACATATTTATTATTCCAAATTTCCTATCATGCATGCAATAAGCATAACATATGCTTAACGGCACCAAAAATGCTGCACTGATGTTTGGCAGTTACTTATCTACATTATCCATTCATTATGTTTCCAGTTGCAAGGAATAAGGAAGGGACTAATATAAACAAATGGTTTAAAAGACTAAGAAGTAGATATATAAAAAGATGCAAGATTAAAAAAAAGTCCTGAGGAAAGTCACCCAAAAAATCTCCTTTGAAATCTTCCAGCTTAAGTGTCCTTGTATAAACTTCCTTGAAATAGGAAAACAGTATCTTAAACTTGGTAGCGTACTAAGTAACTCAGTTGCTATCCTCTAGCAACTTTTAAGTATCACTCTCAGTTTCTCCTCCTGTTTTAGCAACAGACATGGTTATGCAGTAATACATTGCTATTCATAGGCTATTTTGTATAACTAAATCTTTACATCCCTCTTAAAAAGTAGAAAAACCAGATCCAACATTTAAAAGTTTGCATTAGACTTTCTACTGAACTTTACTTCAAAGTGCCAAAGTGACTGAAGATGAAATTCATTCTCCCCTATAACAATAAAGAGCAACAGCAGAAGGAAAGAATAAAGGCTGCGTACCAACACTAAACATCTATTCCTGTCACTAAAATTCTCCCCTGAGTAATACCTTTGAATACCAAGAAAAGCCAATTAATAACTAACATTGTTTGAAACAGCAAAATTTCTCCATATTAGCTAAAAATTTAAAATAATCATTACATTCTGAAACAAACAAAAGAAAAAAAATTGCAATTAGGAAAGAAAGTAGTAGTTACCTGTGGCCTCGAATATCGGACTGATCACAGACTCCTCCTAAAGCAATTCTATGGAATTCTCGACCCAAAGTCTTTGCAATTGATCTTCCAACACTAGTTTTACCAACTCCTGGGGGCCCCACAAAACAAAGAATGGGTCCCTTGAGGTTGTTTTTAAGCTGTCGGACAGCTAAGTACTCCAAAACTCTCTTCTTCAACTTCTCCATAGCATAATGATCATTATCCAAAAGAATTCGAGCTGCACGAATTTCAAGGCGATCTATCAATCATTGACAACAGAAAAGATATCAGCACATTTACCTTTAAAAATGGAAACAATTAATTCAACAATGGAAGAGAAACAAACACATTCTCAAACATGTTCATCAATGCAATCCCCCTGACACACACACATATTTCAGACAATGTTTTCCTAAAACAAAGGTATTATAATTCTCCTTTAATAAGGAAATTAGACATAAGCTAGACAGATCATAGTACTGATAATGAAATTGAAAAACCCTCATCTTTTCACTGTGTCACAGATTGAAATCTGGTTCAAATGAACTTAGTGTCTATTCTAGAAGAGTGATTCAATGATAAGCAAATTTTTCAGCATTTGCTTTCTCACAGAATTACATCTGATCCTGTAAGGTCTCTCAAAAGACAAATTCATCCTTACGTCTTCATCATCAACTTATGATAAGAGTCTATAACGATCCTGCAAACAGAGCAAGATCTTACTGTCTTGAAGGACAGGCTTTTCTTGCTGTGCAACACAAAGTCATTTGTCACTGTAAAAATACCCATGTGATACTAGGACTGGAAAAATTAGTTTTTTGCAATCGTCATAATTTGAGATAAATGGTCAGGCCTCATCAATGGACATTAACTAATGCTTTGCACAGAGCATGAATTTCTGGCACAAAGCAGCTGTCTTCTCCTTTGCTCTACAACATAAAGAGAGCAGGCAGAAAGCAGTAAAGTCTATCAACTCTGCACACATATCCCTTTCAAATTCTGTGCATTCCAGATGCAGACCCCTCATGCCATTAAGTGTGCATATTTCACGTACAGACAATTGTGACTAAATTCTCATCAACCATGTAAGTTTTTGTAATGAACCACTGAACAAAAAAATTCACTATTGATTGTAATTTTCTATTGGATTTTCTATTTTTATATTCATGTATATTTTTATTCACTCTATCTATGGAGTCCAAAGCATCACTTGCATACATGTGAATACAAACTTCGCAACTTTGCTTAAAGTAAAAACTTCAAACTACATGTGACATGGCACGATTTTACAAGATTAAAGAACAACAAAAAGAACATTCTGCTAGGACATGAGTGTCAACAAATATTTTAGTCTTTCTGGGATCTTTGAATAATATCGTAGAGATCTGCAAAGATCTATAGGCAGATATTTTTATAATTTATTGATTAAATAAATATTTACAAGAAAATTTGTAAACAGCCAAGGCTCTAGTTCGAAACGGCCAAAATTTATCACCACACATACTAAGAGGGCAAAAGACAGACAGACGTTTCTGCTGGTGTGGCGTGTTAAATTTCTTTTTAAAATCAGACTGTTTTAAATGCCATTCAAAAGCCTCATTCTTCAGCAGCTGCTAGAAGGAATTAAGATCCTTTTCTCCAGCAGTACACCTTCTGGTAAGTCATTTTGCCCACTTAATCTACTTGTGTTGGTCAATAGGAAAAGTCATGTTGCATTTTCTACTCTTCTCGCTCTCCATTTTTGGATACTCTTCCCATATTAATAGTATCACCCTTTACTCACAACTTTTGAAAACTATGGTACAAAGCTGACATGATACGGAGTTCTTCTATTGTACCTGAAGTTGTAATTATTAAAATTAACTACAATTGTGCTTTTTAATCCTTTTGTTCCTTACCAAACTTGATTAACTTAAGACATACCAGAACCTTCTCCAGGATGATTAATGCTACAGAAATGTACAAAAGCTTTTTTTGTAATTAGATGCTCTTTTTTTTCATTATTTTAGATACATGCTAGTACAGATTGTAAGTAATAATGCCTTCATTTTACTATGTAGATATTCCTAATACTTTTAAAATGCACATTCTTAGATGTACAACTGAGCTACACAGGCTATTCAGTATACAGATCTTACTTTAAGCCAAGTAGACCGTAAGACTTCAGTAACATATTAATAACATTCTCATAATCTGACAATGAAGACAAACATTTGCAAGACAGAACTAAGTACATAGTGTTTACATGATGGTTACTTGTCCTAAAATGTCCGTGCAAGAGACAATCAACAATAATAGAAGAGTTTACCTTTCGTACTCTTGTTCCATGGCAATTCTACCATCAGTTCCAAGTAATTTCTGGTCAATGCATATTCAGGCATTGACTGAGGCATCTTCTTTAATCTGGAAATACATGCACAGAATTCATAAGGCTAACCAGGAATTAACTGTGAAGTAAAACTCTCCTGAACCACAAGACAGATATTTAGCAAACTTTAGGTCATCAGCATACCCTCTTAATTTCTGACAGCCATAATACTGAAAAAGCAAGTCACTACTCCACTAATTAGGAGGTTGTCTTTTCATAGTAATAGGATGTTTATAGGATTCAAACAGAAATGAAAAAAAAAAAGTCAGTTCCCTATGCATACACCATGCATGCATATATGCATCCTCACTGAAAAAAAGAGGTGGATAACCATCATATCGCCATGGATAGCCCAGTTATCCTCCCACCAAAGGAAAACAGAGGAAAAGAGAGTCAATAACTGCATCGGTTTCTTCATTAATTATTAACAATTATGGTGTTATTTAGGTTTTTTTGAGATGTTCATAACATAGAAGCTTAGAGTTTACAGTTTAATGCTATATTAACGTATAAACTGTATCTAGAAGACTTCAAATTTGTCATCACCTCTGATGTTCCAAAAGGATGAAATTATGAAATTTATAAGCAAAAACCAGCGCTCTACTAAATTTTCAAAAATCACTTCCAAAACACAACCAACACAAACATACAATCAAATAAGAAAAGCTTAATGCAAGACTTATTTTAAAAACCAAAATAATAGGAGAAACCACCACCTGAAAGTCTCCTACCTCTTTATTTCCTTAAGACAAACTTTAAGAGCTTGTTCTGACATACTGGATGTTCTAATCTTTTTTTCCAGCATGACAACATCATCATGATCTTCTTCTTCCTCCTCATCTTCTGTAGTGCCGGGAATGTGATTGATTCTTCTATTAGGCCGAATAGCTACAACCTATGAAATGGAAAAGAGAGCCAGAGAATAGTATCAGGTTTTGTTTTTTAAATAAGGTCGGTACTTTGGCTTTGAATGGAAACCATGGCAAAAACATGCAAGGTGCTGGGAGAGTCTCCTTCATAGAAAAATTCAGAAGATTTTAATCCAATAAATAACTTCACAAAATGTATTGGCACTACTTTAAAAAGTTACGGTTCTTATTTTACTGTATGTATTTCCTAAGCACATTTATCATCTACACTAAACTAGCAGACAACAGAAGACAAGACCAAAACCACATAAGTATAGTTAGATGCAGCAAAAGTCCAAGCTGCCCTAGTTTAGCAAGTTACATTTTACAACACACACTGTTTATCTGTATTTCAAAAGCTATTGTTCAATTGCAATGCCATTAGTAAAAGGTACACCTTTCACTGCAGAGGCCAAAACTCAGTGTTTGTGTACTGTGCAAGTAAATTTGGCATAAAATGACTCTTTCAAGGAACCTGAGCGTTTATTCAATGGCAGAAAGTGCTCAGATTACAGTACATAAACAAACAAACAAATAACATAAAGCCTAGGCAGTTTTAAAAGAGTATTTCCTCTTTTAGGTATCTAAGGAGCCAAAGTTCCCAGCTGGGTGTTCTCTGCAGCTCCAGACTGACCACAAAACGTTATGGCTATAGATTAAAACTTTGCACAGATTAAAGTCACGTACATTCATTAGCCTGTTTAAAAGTGCATCTTTATAGATTTAGGATGTTTAAGTATTCCACATTTAAAGGTCCATACCCTTTTATCATCATCCTGTTTGGGTTTTCTTGTTTTCTGAAGCAGCTTCAGACCTTCAATCTGTCTAACAAGCAATGGTATAGTCATCTTGAACCGTTCTTCCAGCCTAACAGCATCTAAAATCTGAGAGCAAGGAGTTACTGTCTTTTGACCAGAGTTATAGAATAGATGGTTTAGGAAAAAAGGTAGCAAAAAAAGCAATGAGAATAGAGCACACAAAATCTAGCCTCAAGGGTCTGGATGCCAAAACTACAAAGCACTCCAAAATAGGAAAAAAAGTCTTTTATCTTGTCTGTTTTTAAAGTGTCTTAATATTTCAGTTTTATTTTCTGTGGTAAACATCTATCAGCATTCTATTTTTCAATTACTGAGCCTCAGTAAAGAGCTAGCCCTCTACGAAAGTTATGGCATGATCTTCTTGGTTAACCCAGAAAAAAATCACCTTATGCCTTTTTTTATTGTTTTGTCTTTTTAAAATTTCAGACATTATTCCATTTTCATATTTAATTAAGTTGGTATGTGGAAATGGGTAGAATTTGGCTCTTCCACAGCTTCCACTAGCTGCTCTTTTCTTTAGCTCTTCTAATATAAAAAAGGACATGGTAAGTTTAATGACTAAAGTACCTTCCTCCAGCAGGATATTCAGCTACAGTACACACTTTCACTTTAAATTACTGTATTAATTTCTACATGTTGTGTTTTGAAACAACCAAACTTATGCTTTCAATTCAAGGTTGAACATGCAGCACTGGCAATGATAAAAGAAAAGGAACAAAACTTCTGAATACAGCAAACATAGAAATCAGACTAGTAAGTATCAAGCCATAAGCATTGTTTTTGCATAAAGTTACTTTGACATATGATGCAAATTTAACCAGTGTCTCAGTATTTAAAAAGCCCTACACTTCAAGGTGTTTTTAAAAAGACAGAAAAAAAAACAGGATTCTGAAGCTGTTGCTATTAAGAGATGAAAAATGATCTGTCAACTGTGATAAGTAAGCAAGATTTCAACACAATTAAAAGACAGATTTATCAACTTTATGATAGGAAGGGGAAGTCTACATTGTATTTATTGTTTAATAAAATGAATGTTTTCCAACACTAACTAGATTAATTTACTTATTAGGTGAGTTCTGACGTAGAGATATATAAACACTTTAAACAACAGCATAAAAACTTTTTACGAGCATTCACGAGCAGTTGTAACAGATACCTTCTGGCACGATGTTATCACTACACAGTATCCAGTGTAAGCATTTTCAAAATTATCTAAAAATTATTAAATGCAAAAAAAAAAAAAAAGAAGCAAACACCTAACTCCCCTTTAAAATGTTTAAGAACCTAATACCTGAAGCTTCTCTTGGTTGGATGTACGGATGATAGAAGTCAGTATATCTGGCAAAGCTTCTCTAGGCAGATTGTCCAAAAGACGTCTCAGCTTTGCAACTGCAGGAACGGACATATCCAGCATCTCAACCAACTGTAAGAAACACACAATCAACAATATTAATGGTTGCTATATTTCTTTTAAAATTATTTAAGTGAATATCTGACCTAAAAAGGATTACATCTTTCAGTATGAAACATGTCTAGATACTTTGCCAAAAAGCTACTGAAATAAATTTTTAAAAAAGTTCACAGAAGAGGCACTAAGACTTTGAGCTTTTTGCTTGTTGGAGAAGTTCAAAAATATCATCATTGCTTGCAGCACTTTTTTCAATGCCTGCATCTCTTATTTCCCCCTCACATTCTGGATTAATAACTTTCCCAGTTATCTTAGCACTATGTTGACTCTTTTTCTATACATCCTTTAAATTCAAATTCATTATACCTGGGGACATCCGTTTATAATCAAGGCTCTAGAAGGTTTTTTCCTCTTTAATAATTTAAAAAAAAAAAAAAACCACCACCTCACAAAAACCCAATCCATTGTATACATGTATATATTTGTGTACATATATATACACATTTATATATAAAATCCTGGAACAAAATAATCAAAAGTATCCCTTTTACTAGAGTGTATTTATAGTTTTGCTATATATTAAGTAATACCAACTTATGATAGCACTAACATATAAACTCATCCTACAATGAGCTGTACAGACACCATGGAATTTGACTCAGAAACCTTAAACTATAACAAAAATATTTATTTTGTAGCAGAAGTACTGAAACTCACTGAAAAATACAAGAACTATAAAAATAAAAGGGCAGAGAAGAAACTAAATATACACATAAATATACCAGTATATGATACATAGGATTAAAACAATTTACCTGCACTGCATATTTGTAGAATTGTTCTGACAACTCTCCCAGTTCCTCCTCAGATTTATGCTGATTAGTGAACTGCTCAAGTCGATCTAACTGTTCAACTTCAGCAATAGGATATGGCTTCTCTTTCAGCAACTGCAGGATCTGGAATCGGCAGAGGCCCGTAACCAGCAACGTATAATGTGGCTTTGGCCAGTTGCTACCAACCACCTGAACTGCCAAGGCAGCAGTGCCAATCCTAAAACCAGATCAAATCTTCATATTATTTGTCACCTTCCACAGAACATTTTGTGTGCCCCTTGTCAAGGGGCAATTGAGCTATAGATTGCAAGAACCTTCCGGGTCACAGCTCCTTATCGTGAAAAGCAACCAAATTATACCATTTCCTTTGTAACACAAATTATAAAACCACATCCTAAAACCTGAAAATGAATGAGCTAACTGAAAAACTAAGATAATGTAATACAGTCACCTGATTCAGAAACATGTGTGTTTTTCATAAACAATTTAATGGATCTTGCTGTGGATGGGAACGCTGACATTTCTGCTTAAACTATGCACATTGGAAAACTGAGTGTTTGTAATTTACAGTTCTTCAGTGAAATTATCAGCCCGATTCTGAATAACCGTTTTAGATCACATGTACCTGCTTAAGCAGATTCAAAAAAATAATTTATTTTCTCGCAAAACCTTACTAAGTCCACTGATGTGATAAAGTTTTGAGAGTAAGGTTGCAGCAGGTTAGTTTTACTTACACTTTACCCCACAGAAATACAATTTGTTTTCATTTCACATGGACTAGGTCACTATCCACGCTACTTATTAGGTGAAAAATGTTATCGTTCACAACTGCGACAGCCTAAATGCTCCTGGCCTGCGTTCTTTGATCGTATTTTCCCCTTCCACCTCGATCTCCTTTTCCAAAATTTTCTTCCAGACGCCAGTGAAGACAGTCCCCGCCACCACGCGCCCCCCTCAACGGAGAGAAGTTTCTCCGAAGGGAGAAGTTTACCACACGGCGGCGGCGAACAGGCTCGCCCCCCGCGGCCAGGCC